GGACAAAGACTTTGCGTGGGCGGATACAGTTAGCATATAGATGATCGGACATTCAAGAAACAGCCACGAAAAGATGAAAGGTTAACTTTCTGTGGGAAACAACCAATCACAGGACTGTTTTTCTGCTAACAGTAATCTATAATAATGTACATGAAAGTATTTAAATATGTATTGACTTCCTCAATAAACGATCTCTTGCCTGGCCCTTGTCTTCTGTTGTTACATTATTACTATTACCATTATGGCAAATGATGGCACCAATGTAAATTGTATGATTTCCTTAGTATACATTGAATTAGTCCTGACAAATATTACTTCTATCCTCATCAGTCTTCATTCAAGCATATCAATTAGAATGTTATTAGGAGCTACAAGATAGATGACGCAAAGTTCTAGTGTAAGATCTTCGCCAGTAGAGTACACCATGGCAAGGTGTGAAAAAGACTGATGGGAAGTAGCGGTACATCAGGAATCAACAGAAGTGAAAATTCATGAGTCAATGAGATCAACTGGCAACTTGCCAGTCCTAGGTTCGATTCCGTGTATATTTTTTGACGTGCACCTCGGAAAGCCACAAACTTGGAGGGCACTGTTGTTTATCACCCCTAACTGTCCAATAATTCTCATGTCGATGTCAGTTCGTGACAAAATATTGATTGAAATCCCCACAAAACTCGAAAATCTGGAAATTTCGAAACATTTTTTAAAGACACTCATGATCAACACCTTAAGTGTTCCCAAATGAGAATGTCACGTGACTGATGAACCTGTTGAACAGTTAGAGACTAACTATGCATCAGATAAACGAAGGCAGATATTCGTGTAATTAACACGCAAATAAAAGATGTAAATAAGTAGTTGGAGACCATTTACTTATTATTATTATTCCCTTGGGTTCCTAGTGGAACATAGGGCTTCAATTGAACTTCTCCACTTGCCACTTCTGTCTTCTGCTGCCGTATTTTTCACCTCCATCCATGTTAGTTAGTCCATATTGTGTCAACTCCTCTCTCTTCACACGATCTCCTCCATGTCACCTTTGCACCGACGTCCCACTCGCCGCTTCCTTTTCGGCCTGGTTCCACTCGAGCAATGGCCTGACGTGCGCGCGATGTCACCCAGCGGCCTCCTCAGCGAGTGTCTAATCCATCTCCACTTTCTCCTGCATATCTGTTGGTAAGCGATTGATTCTTCTTTTGTTTGTTTGTTCCCAGCCATAGTTTCTTGTTGGTGATTCTTTCCGACTCGGCCATCTCATCTTCAGTATAGATCCAGAGAAGACAGTTGTTGGTTGATAAAGGTCTGCAACAGGCTGTTGGAAATATTCTCTGTGACCCGCCCGCCAAGTTTCTGATCCATCCGTATAGAAGAGCTGACTGACTTGACGTTTTTTGTATTGAATTGAATCCGACCGAATTTTGTTGTTGATTCTGGCTGAGTGACGAAGATTTCCTAACAGATTGGTTTCAGGTTGATGAATGTGTTTCTCGCTCGATTTGATATCGTCGTCCGTTCTGACTTCCTGTAGTTGAGACAATGCTGACTACCTAGATTAGTGAATGAAGTTACCTCTTTCAAATCCTTCCCGTTGATGGTGATTGGCGCTGGATGTTTCTGCTGTCGTTGTTGTTGTTGGTTGGTTGGTTATTTTCATAACCTCCGTCTTGTCTATGTTCACCTGGAGTCTTGTCTTCGCCGGCTGCTTCTTCGACCGACCAGTTTGTCGGTCGGTTTTCGCTTGTAAGTCTTCGATTTTGTGACAGTGACATCAAACATAAATCATCCACACGCGAAATCCAGGTCTTCTAGGTTCTTCACGTCGGTCGGTCCAGAATATCCCCGCCTTCTCGTTTCCCACTCACTGTCTGACGCATAATCCAGTCCACCACAATTAGGAATATCATTGTGAGTGATTACAATAATAAGCACCCTTGTCTGACTCCTGTGTTTACTCCAAACGCCTCGCTGACTTTTCCGTTGTGGATGACTTGACATGTTCCGTTGTTGTACAGCTGTTGAATAAGGTTGATAAATATTCGGGGTACACCGTAGTACTCGAGTAGTTTCCAAATTACTTCGCGGTCAACGCTGTCTGTCGAAGGCCTTCTCAAAGTCTATAAAGTTGAGGTAGAGGTTTGATTGCCACTCCATGCTTTGTTCTGTTATAATGATGCGTGGTGTTGCAATTTGGTCAGTACATGATTTGCCTTTCCTGAATCCAGCTTGTTCTAGTCGGAGTTCTGCATCTAGTGCGACCATTTACACTAATAATTAATTAATGTTGGTCACCAGATCATTATGACGCAAACAAATGATAGCCGTTTCGTATGATTGCGGTCAAACTCATCAACAGTGTGCCCTAACTTACTGAAACCGTCACCACTTCAAATGTAAGGACAAATACTCGTCTATGGCACTGGCTGGCGGTGGTACTATAAAAAGGAAATTGACAGAAATTAGAATTCATGGGCGATTGGACGCCACCTCAGAGACTTAACTGAATGGTCAATATAAGCTCTTCTGTTGACCAGGAGGTCCTAGGTTCCGTCACCAATGAATGGGGTACCACTGAGGAGTTCTAAACCAGGGCGAGACGACGTTCCAGTACTCCATGGTCTTCTTTAACTGATATCAATCCGTGATCAGACTTGAAAGATTTATCCTAATATTTGTGGAGAAATGGTTGATTTCGAAGTGCCTTACATCTCGAATTGGCGCTGACTAAACAATCGCTCTAGAGAACTAATCGTCCGATAATTTTCCCTTCTTCTGGATCCTTCAGCAATGGAAATCCACGGCTTCTCACAATCTCGGCTGCAGGGCAAGATTTGTCGTTCTCCACTTCCACCAATTTACGGTTCAGCTCGGCCATCACTGAGTGTCATTAAGGAGTAATTATACCCATACTTTCCCTACTTCATTAAAGCTATCTACTAATCAACGTTAACTTGACACTTCGAATGAAAAATATTTATGAGAAGCTGATTGATTTTAGAACGACAATCTCCCTTGGAGGTTATTAAGGAGTGAATTTAAGGCCAGAGTATTGAAAGCATTAACGGCTAACGTCATCAGTCATGTTGTATATAGAGAAAATTACTTACCTACGTAGTGATGATATAATGCGATTGCCATGTCACATTCAACATAGAAAAGACAGAGGTGGTGAAGATAACCAACGAACCGTAACAACAACGACAGCAACCCGCACCGATCACCATCAAGGGGAGAGATTTGACAGAGGTTACCTCCTTCATTTCGCTGGGAAGCATCGTGACAATTACAGGTAGAATGGATGAAGATGTCGACAGCCAGAATTGGAAAGGCAAGATACACCTTCATCAACCTGAAACCAACTTGGAAATCTTCTACACTCAACCTAATGAAAAAGATTCGCATTTTGAACACCGATATGAAGTCAGTGAGTCAGTCGTCTTTTCTATACGGGTCACGAAAAGGATTTCCAACAGTCTGCTGAAGACTTTCATCAACAGCTGTCCACCTCGCTGGTTCCATACTGAAAATCAAGTGGCCGGAAGTAATAAAAAGAAACTCTGCCTGGGAACAAACCAACAGGCGAGAGCCTATTGCTCAACAAATATGTAGGAGAAAATGGAGATGGATTGTTTGGGCATACATTGAAGAAACCATCTAACGACATCGCCCGCCAGGTTCTCGAGTGGAATCCGTATGAGAAGTGACGAGTGAGTCGTCGGTGAGAGGGTGACATGGAGGAGGTTGTGTGATATGAAGTAGATGAGACACTCTGGACAATCGTGGACCCAGCTGAAGAGGATGACAGAAAACAGAAGAAAGTGGAGATATGTTGTTGAAGCCCTATATTCCACTCGGGACCCAAGGGAGCAATAACAATGATAATATCCCACCTATACCAGATCTCATTAGGAATATCAAATCCGAAAAGAGGGTATGTGTTTCACTTTAGAAGCAAACATATCAGAAAGGTTCTACTGTTTTTGTATTTTACTTAATGATTTGGGTTTTAATTTCTTCCACTAATTTCTTCCTCGAAATGACATCACCTACAAATTCAAAAACCACAGCAGAATCGCTCACATATGGAAGTTTGTTTCCCCTCCACTTAATATGTGAACCAGTGGAATTGTCTACGAGAACACACAGTGATTTAAAAACGTCTGTTATTTCATTCAAAGAAATGCTGGACCTTAACTGTACAACAAGTCGAGAGGATTACTATAAGTCTGCATTAAGCTACCTACCCCTTATCTGCACTGACTACCTTCCAAGTAGAACATAGGCCTTTAAGCTTTAAAGATCCATCAGAGATTGTAGTAATTTTACAAGATGTGATTGCTAGACTCACACCCAAATTATCATCTTTCACAGGCTTACAATCATCCAGTAGTCACCTAGGTGAATTTTTTAGGAGTGCGTCGGCTGAAAATCCTACTCAGACCACATGCGTCGACGGCAAGTATTCTGCTGATGAACTATTGATCCTAACCTTAATAATCTGGGAAGCCGTGACCAGTAGGGCGCAGCAGATTGAAGTTGAGGCAGTAACTCATCGAAGAAGACATTGCGAAGTGGTCACGCTATGTCATGAATTGACAGAAGTTGGAATTCATGGACTGACCATTGGATAGGGTCCCAGTGGATTAATGGTCTACGAGCTAGCTCACCAGCCTTGTAACCAGAAGGTCCCGAGTTCGAAGCCCTTGGTGTGGGTACGTACTGATGAAGAGTCACAAACTAGGCTGACGAAACAGCTGTCCGGTACTCCCATATGGTTTTCCAATGGTTCCCTAACTGGTGTCAGCTGATGATGAGATCCTCCAACCAATCTGCAAACAGTAACCTGTGAACCATCATTCAGTGTAATCAATTTCAGGTCTTTAAATAGTCTCCGATAAGTGGTTCAAGAAATGCTTTTAAAAACTTCGGAATATACTCACAAATAAAAGTAATAATAATGATAATAATATTTTAAAAAATCAATGTAATCTCATATAACTCACCTCCATCCGCGTATGTTTCAACGCCAAATCTTGGAAAACCATTTTCAAATTCTCCTTCAAATCTCCCAATTGAATTCTCTTTACACTTTATTCCAAGCGTGATAAAATCATCTTTAAACCGCCCCATTATTACCCAATCCTCTCTTGTGAATATACCATATCCATTGCGTCGATTTTGTGCCCATTCCCCTTCGTACATAGCACCAGGTGCATTAGGCCATAAGAAGACACCACTTTTCTCAGAACCAGAATCCCATAGACCTGTATACTCGCCTTGGCATTTATCTTTTGTAATTAAACCCAAACCAACAGCTTTTTCATTCAACCATTCACCAATATATAATCCAGAATCTTTGAATTCATATCTACCAGCTGGTAGACAGGTGGCCTCAGTTTTTATTTGATCCATGAATTCCACGACTCAATTTATCAATGAGACATATTGTTTCTTGCCCATCTGTATGTGTGTGTGTGTGTGCGTACGTGTGTCTGTGAGTTTTTGTAATTGTATGTGTGTTTATTCAAAAATTAATAACTCTATTCCATCGCCCATTTTTTTGCTAAATCCACAATAATGATATTGTTGAATAAGCAAAATGAATCCATGCTATTAAATGTCCAATGTACATTAAAGTAAACAAATCCTTTCTCAATGTATTTGTCAACAATCTGTAGGAAAAGAAAACAATCACAAACACACACGAAGTGTAGTCAAATTTGACTAGTGTGATCGCTTGTCATCAGTTCAACCACCAAGTTGAATACGAAGCGTATTCGTTGGAGAAATTCATTCCTGACTTGTTTTTATCGTGTGATAACTTTTACATTATTATTATTTTGGTTTTACACAGAAATATCCTAGAGCTCTTATTTGATTGGTTAACCCACTGATATAGTTATGTGGGTAGATTTTTGGCAATCAACCAATCAGGTGAATTCGAATTATCAATAGCCATTATGATAGTAAAATCTGATTGGCTGTCTCTTAACAAACGTAGGTGTGCAACGCACACGCACACACACCCATTGTCTTTCAGAGCCAAATTTGGGAAAATAACCCATTCTTACTAACTTGTATCTCGATCAATATACGTGCATATAGTATTGTAGATATTTGGTTTGAAGTTTAAAGTTTGAAGGATGAATGATGAAAGAGAAGCAATAGATATCTGACAGTTACCCGTTTGTATGTTAGTTTGTGGGTGTGGTGGTGTGTACTTTTAATAAATTGCACTACACACACACATTTATCCTTAACAAAAACAGGTACACCTACGCAAAAATCAATAAATATGTGGCATCAGTGTAAAGAAATTTCAAATGCAGACTTATTTTAAAAGAGAAAAGGGTGGATGTGTAAAACTATTGCCACACTTTTGCCTTTAGCAGCACTTAAAATGACAAAAATTTTTGGACATGTGTTTGAAACAACGATATGGTTTTTTTTAAAAAAAAATTCAGTTTCATCAAATTGACTATGAAAAAGGTTACTATTTTTGGGAAAAACAGGAAAATATCTGGACGATGGGTGGATAGACAGCCCAAGATAGACAGATAGACGCAGTCTGATCGACTTGTTAATTGTGATTGGGTAGAAAACAAAAAACGTTAGAATTTTTGTTGGCATAGTTCTAGGAATCCTCAAAAGTCTGTATTAGTAGTAGTCGTATTTGTTCTTTAATTAGATTTTCCACTCCATGAACTGATTCAACCCAAAAATTGTTCGGTTCCTAGTATGGGTGTTTTGACGATATGCTAAGATTTAAACTGATGTAATTTGAAGGAGTTTGACTACCACTGGCCAGAATGGTCTAGTGGATAACGGTTTGGCGTTGAGACAATAGAGACTGGGTTTGAGACTCAGTGGGAACGCTATAAATCATTGGGGAATGCAGATACATCCAAACGATGAGTTGTGATTAGAGCAAAATACATATCCTGGATTCCGCCACTGCTAGTCACCATCAACCAAATTTCCTCCAGAGTAGTATTTCTCACTTCTTCAACATGATTAGAACTATCAGAGAAAATGTATTCAGTCAACAGTTACTCAGTTCAGCGATGTCATTCTCAAGGTGAATAACCACATATGCATAGTAAATTAATTATCCTAGCAGCAAAAGGAGTATTTCCAAAGAGATATCGGTAGGTTTGTCAGTTTTTCGATAACTAATGACGTAATGCAGAAAGTGTTAATCGGCTAGGAACTAAAAACAAAATAAAATAAGTAAACTGAGTGACGTCGATGCATAGCGGTTAGGACGCTCGCCAACCATGCACATGGTCCGAGGTTCGATCTCCGGCCACAAACGTACTCCTTTACCTCGCTAAGCCAGAAATAATGCTGGTATAGAGGAAAGGTTGGGCATGAGGCTAGCAACTCCATCCTGTAAAATAAACACTGCTACAGAAACTTCAAGCCCCTAGCTCGAAGCCCTATGTTCCACTGGGGAACGTGAAGGAAAGAAAACTGAGTGACGTAATATAATTGGCGGCGTTGAGTAGAATTCAACCAAAATTTGAACGAGACTCAAGTCAGCAACAGTGGTAATAAGGGGTGGAAACTTAATAGGGGTTTAGGTTAGAAAATAATACAATTAAGAAACAAAGATTACGCATTCAGTGTAAAGGCAGATGACGTCCTCTGCATATTCAATGGCTGAGCGAACTTCTTCTGTATGCAGAATCCAGGATTAATCTGTATTTTTTTTATTTTTGATTACAGCTTGGTTCCACACCATGTTTTTGGTACAAGTATGGAATTTTCAGCATGGATATCGGTAGCCCAAATTTTGCAGGCTGACCATAGATATCAGGTGTGCGTCGGCAGGGGATCGAACCTCGGACCATGTGGATGGTCGGTGAGAGTCCTAACCACCGTGCCACCGACGAACGTGTGAATTGCCAGTGCTTCTGCTCTATTTGAAAGACAACGGAACATGTCAAGTGATCCACAACGGAAAAGTCAGCAAAGCGTTTGGAGTAAACACAGGAGTCAGACAAGGGTGCTTATTATCCATCACCAATGAATGATATTCCTAATTGTGGTAGACTGGATTATGCACCAGACAATGGTAAACGAGAAGGCGGGGATATCCTGGACCGACCGACGTGAAGAACCTAGAAGACCTGGATTTCGCTTGTGGATGATTTATGTTTGATGTCACTGTCACAAAATCGAAGACTTACAAGCGAAAACCGACCGACAAACTGGTCGGTCGAAGAAGCAGCCGGCGAAGACATGACTCCAGGTGAACATAGACAAGATGGAGGTTATGAAAATAACCAACCAACCAACCAACAACAACAACGACAGCAGAAACATCCAGCGCCAATGACCACCAACGGGAGGGATTTGAAAGAGGCAACTTCATCCACTTATCTAGGTAGTCAGCATTGTCTCAACTACAGGCAGTCAGAACGGACGAGAATGTCAAATCGAGCGAGAAACACGTTCATCAACCTGAAACCAATCTGGTAGGAAATCTTCGTCACTCAGCCAGAATCAACAACAAAATTCGGTCGGATTCAATTCAATACAAACAACGTCAAGTCATTCAGCTCTTCTATACGGATGGATCAGGAACTTGGCGGGCGGGTCACAAAGAATATTTCCAACAGCCTGTTGCAGACCTTTATCAACCAACAACTGTCTCCTCTGGATCTATACTGAAGATGAGATGGCCGGGCCGGAAAGAATCACCAACAAGAAACTATGGCTGGGAACAAACAAACGAAACAAGAACCAATCAATCGCCAACCAACAGATATGCAGGAGAAATTAGAGATGTGTGGTGACAGCAGGCTGCTAGCCAATTGGTAGACATTTATCTACGTCAATGTCTAGGTCACTAATATTGGCCGTGATTAAATATGAACAAGGCTGATTCAAGAACCAGTCACAGCAGACTTAAACGTGGGCAAATATGATTCGCAGATAGATGTCTGCACCTTCCGAGAAATCTCGAAAACAACCAATCAGAAGACTGCATTTGTCTACTTGAATAAGCTGTGATAATATACATGAAATGTATATAAATGCGTGCTGATTTTCGTAATAAAATGATCTGTTGCCGGCCCTTGTCTTCTGTTGTTACAGATGTATTGGACACTCTCTGAGGAGACCGCTGGGTGACATCGCGCGCACGTCAGGCCATTGCTCGAGTGGAACCAGGCCGAATAGGAAGCGGCGAGTGGGACGTCGGTGCAAAGGTGACATGGAGGAGATCGTGTGAAGAGAGAGGAGTTGAAACAGTATGGACTAACTAACACGGATGGAGGTGAAAAGTACAGCAGCAGAAGACAGAAGTGGCAAGTGGAGACGTGCAGTTGAAGCCCTATGTTCCACTAGGAACCCAAGTGAACGAAAACAACAACAATCAGTGCTCTTTTAGCAAGATTCCCACGCATTCTGTAGATAACTTTGAAGTGGGTTTGTGAGTTCGCTTGGTGTCCAGATTCTATAAGGTGTTCCTGAATACAGCTGTGGAGGGATACTTTTTTCTCTCCAGGTGAAACCATGAGAGTAAGTGTTCGACGACAAATTTTGTGGACAGCAAACACTGAATACAGACGGCATACCTAGCTTCACAAAAGCAGGTGAATTGATAAATATACACTAATGTGGCCAACATTGTTAGCAACTTATCCCTTGTACTGGGGTGTATGTGTGTGTTTCTTTTCAATTTCAGAAGTACCATGCTAATCAGCTTAGGATTCCTTCACAGACAACTTAAACTTATTTCATATTTTATTGAACCCCTTTGCTTTCTCAGTGGAAAATAAGTCTTCAAGCTTTGAAGTCTCAGTAGTGATGATTTTGTTTTTGTAGGGTAAGATCTCTAGCCTCATGCTCTACCTTCCCTCTATACTATGCCTTCTGATAGTTACGCTATGTTTAGGAATGAGTCGGTTCGAGATCGGACCCCAGACCACCTGCTTGGTTAACCGATATCCTACGATTGAACCACTGGTGCACGCATTTAGGAAACACTGGCCAACAGATGACGGTAAAAGATATTATCATCTCTCCATAGGTGTCATGGAATAACCCTTACCTAACCGACAGACTAATCTAATGAAACCATACAATCTAATTTGAATTTTGATCATGGGTCGATATCAGTTATAGAACGAATCAATGAAAATCACCACGGAATACTGGACAGCTGTTTCGTTCTAGTTCAAAACTCTTCATCAGAATGCACTCACCGAGTCTCAAGACAAATACTCATCATCAAACATAACACTGACTGGGGCCAACTGGGCTAAAACCACGAATTGGTAGAAGCTTGAATTCACGAGTTGGCCTTTGAATAGGGTCCCAGTGGCTAAATATCCTATAAGTTTTACTTGTAATCGGAATGTCCTGGATTCTAAACAGTATTACGTAATCTAAGCAAGTTAAGG